ATTACAGGCATGCACCAAATGCTAGAATTACAGGCATGCACCAAATGCTAGAATTACAGGCATGCACCAAATGCTAGAATTACAGGCATGCACCACCACCTGGTTCAGGAATCTGGATCTTGAATCTGACTCCCAGAGAAAAATTACAGAAGGCTCTCATTCTCTACCAGTCAAAGAACTGGAGCTGCAGACAAAGAACTCTGCCAGGCCCAGACAGCATGGGAATCCTCCATCCTATAAACCTCATTCTTGTCTCAATATTTGCCACAGCAACAAAAAAATCTTTTTGATGCACGCTCCTACCTATGATTTACAGTTGCAAGTGGAGAGTTAGCAGGATGTCTCTAGAACCAAAGTGCACATATTCTCTGACTCAGCATTTCCATGTATGGCAATGCATCCTATAGACACCGCCTCAAGGATGCCCGTCACATCCACAAATCTCGGCCACATCACTTTAAAAGGCCTTACAAGAGCCCCAAACCTCCTCTGTGAGCAAGTCATGTCAGAAGCATAGATTGACACACCCGTCTCCTTCTATAATGTCAGAATTTATTGAATAACAACAAGTTCACAACTATATCAATGTCAAAGGCTTAAACTCACCAATTACTATTGATCTCACTTGGCATTTGTGGTTTTTGGCAGTCCTGGGTTTTTTTTTTTCAATCCGATCTTACATACAAATATTAACTCTCAGAGTATGCATTACACTTCACATAGTGTTCTGTGTATGAGTGCGTGCATGTGTGTGTGTGTGTGTGTGTGTGTGTGTGTGTGTGTGTGTGCATGTAAAACATGTTATAGAAGAGTTGAGAGCTCAGTACCTATTGATCCATGACTCATGTGCAGGATGGTCTGATGAAGGGCTTGGAGAATGCTGTAGTACTCAGCATTATTTTATTTTATATAATCAAGTACAGGGTTGCTTCATTCATTCATTCATTCATTAGTCTCATGTGTTCAGTGGACTCACAGGCCTGGTTTTTCTGATACAGTTTTGTTTTGTTTTTGCCTTTTTGAGATAGGGACTCACTATGTAAACTTGGATAGCCTGAAACTCCACTATGTAGAAGACCAGGTTGGTCCTCTGCCTCTGCCTTGCCTCTAGAGTGTTGGGATCAAAGACATGTATGACCTGGGCTCTGATAATAGTTTTGATGCAAATAACCATATGTTCCTTATTTAATATGCTACATTCAGAGGGAGTCATACTTTCTTTGCGTAAATGAGTTATCAGTCTGCCTCGTGGTTGGTGCTGGACAGATGGTGGCTGTTTACTTGCACAAATGACATACCAAACCATTCTTCATCAGCACCTGTGGTTGAGATGGAACCGACTGCTGTTTTATAATGAGGAATCACTCAGGGCAAGGCACAGCCTGAAGGCACTATTCTCTACACCCCGGAAGAACTTTGAGCAGGCCACACCTGACCACAACTGTCACTGGGAAAGCGATTAAACAAACACAGCCTGCATCTCTTCCACGCACAGTGGGTTACAGCCCCACCAACCCACTGTAAGTTGAAATACTGAAAAACACTGGGTATAGTGGCTCATGCCAGTAGTCCAAGCATTTTCAGAGGCTGAGGCAGGAGGACTGTGAGTTCCAGGCCCACTTGAGCTATATTAAGAGACTCGGGGTCAGCTAACTGTGGTGGTCACACCTGTAATCCCAGCAGTCAAGAAACAGAGACAGGAGGGTCACTACAAGTTTGAGGCCAGCCTGGTCTACATAGTAAGTTCTGGGCTAGCCTGAGCTATAGAGTAAGACCTTGTCCAAAAAAACAAAAAACAAGAAAAGGGTCTGGAGAGATGGCTCAGTGGTTAAGAGCACCTGCTGCTCTTCCAGAGGACCCAGGTTCAATTCCCAGCACCCACATGGCAGCTCATAGCCGTCTGTAATTTCTGTTCCAGGGGATCTGATGCCTTCATACAAACATACCTTCAGATAAGACACCAATGTACATAAAATAAAATAATAATAATAATAATAAAAAAAGACAAGAGAAGAAAAGGTTCTCAAACATCCCAGCTGGACAACACAGGCTGCTGTATCGTCTAGGAGGTGAGTGAGCGTGTGGCCACTGGGGCTGCCGGCATGGCTGACGTATAGTGCCAAGTACAGTTGCCATGGGACTCGTCCGAAAAGTTCCTAGCATGTCTAACAGGTTTGGCTAGTGCGCTGGGTTTTTATGTTTTCTTCCTCCCGAAGCCTACTGGAGAATCAGTTTGCTTTCAGAAAAAAAGCAGCAAAATAGAACCAGTGTGTTAGGCAAAACGCCTTTTCCTACACACGGCAGCTCCTGAGTGGCCTTCAAGGCCACATTCATGTACGAATTCACAGATTCTGGAAAACCAAACCACAGCCATGAAGGGCACCTTTGTTACCTTGTGCTGCACAGCCGACACTGTGACAGGAGTCTTTGAAAGAGCCACCAGTCCAGCGGCAGCCAAATAACAGGGCCTGGAAATACCGCAGTTTGACGACAAGCGTGTTTTGTTTTGTTTCCATGAGGCCTATATTGCCCAGATAATTCAAGGCAAGGATGGTACACACACACACACACACACACACACACACACACACACACACACACACACACACGCCATTTTACTTTCTAAAGGAGATGAAATAAGATCTAGTTGGCTGTTAGAAGGCTTTGGACCTAGGATTGAGGGAGGGCTGGCTAAAAGTCAGACGCTGTACTTTTAAAGTGCATTTGAATTCAGCCGGTAAAGCATGAGTCCCATGAGAAGGCATGGTTGTGGTGACAGCCGCCAGCGAGAAAAGCATCCTGGTCTTAAATGTGTACAAATGATTTGGCCTTTCCAGATCTTAACCTCCTCAACTGTCCAGCGGGGAAATAAAAACAACTCGTTCGTAGACAAATCAGAAAGAATAAATGGCAGCCGGGCCTGCTGGTGCGAGTCTGTAATTCCAGCTGTTTGGGAGTCTGAAGCAAGAGCATCGCAAGTTCAAGCACCCCCTAGGCTAAAGGGTGAGTTCAAGGCCAGTTTATACAAGCTGTCTCAAAATAAAAGCAATTAAAAAAAATACAAAAGGTCCAGGCAGCAGTGACACATGCCCTTAATCCCAGCACTCGAGAGGCAGAGCCAGGAGGATTTCTGTGAGTTCAAGGCCAGCCTGGTCTACAGAGCGAGATCCAGGACAGGCACCAAAACTACACAGAGAAACCCTGTCTCTGAGGAAGTGGTAAAACACCTGCCTGGTATGCGAGAGGCCCTGGGTTCAATCTATAGTACCACAAAACAATGCAGTTCAGTTACAGTGCCCAGCAGATGTGAGATGCAACCAGCCAGCTCTGGTTTTATACCAGAGTGCCTACTGCATGCCAGTGGGAGGCACAGCATTAGTGACCTAAGTCCCAAGGACAGGCTGGCCTACCCCAGCATGACAGAATGGGAAGGGAGCTTCTGGAAATGTCCCAAGCCCACAAGACCAGCTAGTGTCAGGACTCAGGTGTCTTCCCACTGTACCCACATAAAAAAAAAACAAAAAGAAAAAAAAAAAAACAAGAAGTCAGACATAGTGTTCCATGTCTTTAGTCATAGCACTTGGGAGGCAGAGACAGACAGATCTCTGCAAGTTCAAGGTCAGCCTGGTCTACATAGAGAGTTCCAGGACATTCAGAATTACATAAAGAGACCCCATCTCAAAAAATAGTTTTATTACTACTTCTTTAGGTAGTGTGTGTGTGTGTGTGTGTGTGTGTGTGTGTGTGTGTGTGTGTAGAGGGCATCAGAGGACAAGTTGATGGAGGTACATTCTCTCCTTCCATTGAATGAGTAGTGGCCATCAAACCCTAGTCGTCAGGGTTGGCCACAGACATCTTCTCCCAGTAAGCCATCTCACTGGCCACACACCCACCTTCTTTACATGGTCAGGCCTAGCCAATCCTGTAACTGTGTCTGGGCCCAAATCACACCTGTGTGTGTTTCCTCTAGGTTTGGCTCTGGTGGTGAGTTTAAGGACAGCATCCATTGGGTGGTCTTTGTGAAATAAGATTTATCTGTGTTTTGTTCCCTGGAGAATTTTCTTCTCCTGTGTGCCTTAGTGATGAACTCAATATATCTAGAATTTTATACATTTCTGGAATCTCTACAGGCTCTGTTTCCAAGTCTTCAGTGTATCTTTGACTCCAAAATAGAGTCCCACATGGTATTGTCTATTCACTTCTTCTCTGGAATGAACTTCAAGCTGAAGAGGCTTCAGCACATAACACCATTGTTTGAATCCCTATTCTGTACTATGGGGTATATCAACCAATTCTAACACTTATTATTATGACTTCTGATCCAGTACATCAGATCCACTTGGTCCATTTAAAATGGGACCAACCACATTCACTTTGTCCCCAGAAATACACAGATGCACATCAACCATGTTCTCTCTCTCTCTCTCTCTCTCTCTCTCTCTCTCTCTCTCTCTCTCTCTCTCTTTCTCTCTCTCTCTCTCTCATACAAGGGATTGAACCTAGGACCTCACACATGCTAGGTAAGCATTCTACCATCGAGCTCTCTCTCCAGCCCTCATTTTACTTTTCTATTTTAAAATAGAAGCCGGGCGGTGGTGGCGCACGCCTTTAATCTCAGCACTTGGGAGGCAGAGGCAGGCGGATCTCTGTGAGTTTAAGTCCAGCCTGGTCTACAGAGTGAGTTCCAGGAAAGGAGCAAAGCTACACAGAGAAACCCTGTCTCAACCCCCCCCCAAAAAAATAGAATTCTATGTTGCCCAGGAGCCTTGAACTTGTGATCCTCTTGCCTCAGCCTCTTATGTAGGTAGCTAAGATTACAGATCTAGGCCACTAGGCTTAACTTTCATTGCCATTTTGTTTTTGTTTGTTTTGAGACAGTCTCACAGTATAGTCCAGGCTGGCCTAGAATTCACTATGTGGACTTGATCTGGCAGTGATCCTCCTGTCTCAGCCTCTGCACATTGCTGGGAGTGTAGGAATGAAACACCATACCTGGGTTTTATTGTAGTTTGTTTGTTTCCCATTCTTTTTTTAAAGATATTTGTTTATTTATTTATTTATTTATTTATTTATTTATTTATTTATTTGATGTGCACTGGTGTTTTGCCTGTATATACTCTGTGTGATGGTGTGAGCTCCCCTGGAACTGAAGTTACAAAGAGTTGGGAGCAGCCATATCAGTGCTGGGAATTGAACCCAGGTCCTCTGGAAAAGCAGCCACTGCTCTTAACCACTGAGCCGTCTTTCCAGCTCATTGTTTCCCATTCTTCAATGAACAACAGTATAAAGTTGACTCGCCTTTTCCAAGGCTGTTCTTTGGGATATCTGTGGATTTGTGCAGGGATTCTCCTGTGTGTCTTTGTAGTGTTCTATAAGGTACACACTGCCCACTCAGCCACCACTGAAAGGAGGGCTGTGAGAGCCACTACAAGGAACTGCCTGGCACACACACAGTGGGACACTCACTGATTTGGAAATTCAGAGTCAATGCTGACTTTCTTTTCCCTTCCCTCTTTGGAGCAACCGCAGCATTTGCAGGTATAACCTGATTATATGACACCCTGAGACCCTGCGTTATAGAGGGGTCGGGGCCAAAGAGGAGCACCCAGCCAGGAGTAGAAGAAGCCTGAGTGGTGTGGACTGTGGCTAACCGGGTAGCTCCTGGCACTCTCCAAGGATGCAGCTCTTACATAGCTCCAATCAAATCTATCCCGGGGGCTGCTAGGTCCCATCTAACTGACCTTCAACCTTTTCAAAATCAACTGAGAGATCATTATGAAAAACAAAACAAAACTGACTGTCACTATAAACCAGTCCAGTTTTGGTAAGTACCAACAAACAAGAACTGGAATGCATGCAGCTAACAAGCGTATCAAGTAGTTAGGACTGTGCTCTGGTGACAAAGGTGACATTCTGGATCAGATGTGAAGCCTCTTTCTAGTTCCAAACTAGTTCTAACTTCCTGCTGGGAAGATACATGAGCCAGCTGCGTGACATCTCTTAACGCATTCTTGTCTGCAGAGGGTGGGTATCGATTCCTGCCTCATCTGCTCTTCTGGGTCCCTTCGAAACTCCAGCAAGATATTTAACATTTGCGAGTGACAGGGTTGGAGAGTTGTGAAGAATTACCATAATACAGGAAAGACAGACTAATATCTGAAGATAAATACAAATGATAAATAAGTATCCTTCAGCAGACTCTGCCAAGCCTTACATATGGGGAAAAAAATCACAAAGCAACTTACCCTTCCATCTGGAGTCCTGGGACCTGAATAGGCTGGAGCCTCGCCCATCAGAACTGGCCACACGTCAAAAAATTCCTAGGAATAAATAATAATAATAATAATAATAATAATAATAATAATAATAATTACATGTTTTTTAAAGCGAAGTCCAACCTATATGAGCTGTCTACCACTGAAGTTTGAAGGCAGAAAGGTCACTGACACTTGAACTTGACTGGAAGGACAAAGTCAGAGAATAATCATATTTGTTAAATATTGATGAACAGGATCTGTCTAATCAGCTAAAATGTGGGTGATGAGTTGGGGTGTCCCCAGTGTTGTAGATGCTAGTCAGGGAAATGAGGTCTTGGGGCTGAGGAAATCAATAGCTCAGTAGGTAAAAGCACTTGCCCTGCAAGTGTGGGGACTTGAGTTTGAATCCTCAGATACTCAGGTCAGTGGCACATTCTGTATACTGTCGATGCTCAGAGGGCAACATGAGAGGTGGAGGCAGGGGGATTCCCAGAAGCTCTCCACCCCGTCCCATACAACAGCAAACGGTAAGAGACCCTGTCTCAGTCAACCTGGCAGGAGAGGACGAGCCCCTGAAGATGTCCCCTGCCTCCCTGAGGGGTGGCATGTACACACCCCACTCACATGGAAACATACATAAAACACACACACACACACACACACACACACACACACACACACACACACACTACTTTTTTTTAAAAAGTGGGATCTCTATGGAGAACAATCCAAGCATCTGGAATGGAGTTAATAGAGCAGTGAGGCCGCGGCTGTATAATCATGTAGCGGTGTGTCTCTGCCAATCAGAAAGGCGTTGTGAGTGTTCTGGTGGATGCTCCCCCTCAACTCCCCTCCCTCACCTTTCTCTCCCCAAACCTGCCCCCTCAGAACCCGCCAAACAGCAGCCCCTCCCCTAGAACTGCCCTCCCATTCCAGACCCCCACCCCCTCAAAGCCCACCAAAAGCCAGTCCCTCCCTGGAGCTGCTCAAGACCACGACTACAGGTTACTTTTAAGGCCTGGTAGCCGTATTTGCCGCGTGACTCTACCCCTGTCTTCCCCAGGGTCACCCAGGATTGCTTTGCTCTGTTCATTAAACCTGGATTTATTAATTCGGCTTGACTGACTTATTACATTGGCAGTGGTGGATACCCAGCAACCGGGGATTCAAAACCTATCCATGAGGTCCCAAAATACATCACAATGCCACTGTCAACCCCAGAAACACTGTTTTTAACTGTTAAAGTGTTGTGGGGTGTGGTGGTATTGTGTTCACCAAAATATTATGTACCTTAATAAACTTACCTGGGGTCAGAGAACAGACAAGCCAGTAGTTAGTCAGTGATAGCACACGCCTTTAATCCTAGCATTCCAGAGATAGAAATCCCTCTGGATCTCTGTGAGTTCAAGGCCACATTGGAAATAGCCAAGCATGGTGAC